CATGGATAAGTGCACGGCAGCCACAAAGGCGACTAGAGGGCCTCAAGACAACAATTGGATGGCTTCTCGAGAATCCCAACCGGAGAGAGGGTACTTTGAGAAGAGATAAGAAATGGGCCTGATGCCATGGCGATGGCTCCACAAGCTTGGCGGCAAAGGTCGAGGTAGCAAGGGCTTCCATTGAGGAAGGAAACCAGGACGAAGAATCTTTGCAGATGAGAGGAGATCAAAGATGCTAACTTTTGAGAAGATTTTTACCTGGGCAACCCACACTAGGACTCTGCATCGCAGGCAAGAGAGTTGGAACAGCCGAACAAAGCATTAAAGGCTTTAGTGGGAGGGAGAGAGACACACAGAGAAGGCGACATCCATCCCGGCCCCATGAATAAGGTCGTGGTTGAGTTTCTGCTCGTCCGCGGTAATCGGTGATCGGTGTTGGCCGGGTTAGGACTTATACGAATTGGGTCAAATTAGCTCGGGATGGAAAACATATATAAATTTGCCCGAAAATAGCTTCTAAATTGAACTAATTTATTTGAAATTGGCTTACCTATAGCTATCCTGATTTTGAGCTTTTACATAAGAATATTATATGTATATTTCATTACATTCAAATTGGTTTGTGGATACGCCCAATCTTACTAAAATCTGTGTGGAAATGAAGAGAACAAATTATTAAAAAAAAATTAGAGAAATACTCAAGAGGCACAAACTCTCACTAGTCAAAAGATTCAAAATAATTATTTTTATTCTTTATTTATAAGGATTCAATGACTACATTATAAAAGAATAGGAAATACATAATTTTAATGACTCAAAATATCCTAGATATTTGTCGCCCCCTATATAGTTGAAGGGTGGTGTTGAACTGTTTTCACCGACATGCTACTAGATAAGTTCAATAGTGTTGAGTAAGTTCAAACGAATACGTTTTTAAGTGTCCATCTGCAAGTGTTGAGATAAGAGGCCTGCGACTAATGAGCTTGTTGGGTTTGGCGACAACTCGTGTTGAAGACCTTTGATTGTCTTTGAAGGGCGTGAGGTGAGTGAGTTGTTATTGTGGGAAGTGAAAGATCTAAGTTGGATGGTCTTGGATGGTCATTAAAAATAAAAAAAGTGGTCAGGTGGTCATGATAGGATGAGCTAAAGTTCCCGGGAGTTTGGCATTTTTCTGAAGTTGAGTTTGGTGTGCATGAGTGAGAATACCAGCTCAAGATGAGAGGCAAATAATCATGTTGTTTGTCTTCTCATGTGGCCAGTGCGAGTTGCTTGCACATTGAGGAGCCTTGATTGCTCCCTATGTGAGGCGACCATTTTTGGTAGGCCTAGATCATCAAGCAAATTCACATGTGGTGGTTCTTTATCTCAACCCAAGAAGTACTTGTTGGGCAAATATAGATATATGTTAATTATACAAATTTATTTTTCTTATTTTGAGTTGATTTTGAGCTGAATTGATCCAATTTAATCCATATAAATTGGGCAAAGCCATAAAATTAAGTCATCATTCTACTCCATCAAGTTAAAAATAGGTTCAAGCTTCAAACAATTTAACCGTTAAAAACTTAGCCGTGTGTGTGTGTTTTTATCTGGGCAAATAAATTTCAAAGAAGTGATATAAAGAAAATAGAGAGAAATATTCATGAACTGAAAAGAAAATTTATTAGGAGCACCTTGCTCTATGTGGAAGAGGAAATTGTGGACGGATGCATGGCTATAATTTTTTTTTCTACTTTAGATTCTATTTAAACAACCCCAATTCAAATTTTAAAATTTAATGTTAAATCATAATTATTTTTCTAATTTCTTATTCTATGCAAGAAGAAATTGATTACGTAAATCCTATGAGATTTTTTTTTTCTTGAAGCTAAAATTTTGGAATTAGTCAAAGAGTTCTACTATGGAATGGAAATAACAAAAATAAATATTTTTTGCATGAAAAGAAATTTGTGATGATAGAAGTAGATAATTTAACATTTCAAATTTATACAAAAATTCAATACTTATACTAATAGAGGATCATATGCATACAATTAAAGAATTGAATGTTTAAATCCCTCAATCTTTAGAGGAGATTGGATTAGTAAAGAGCACAATTGTAGCATAGTAAAACTCTCCCGCCATAAAATTAACAATGGATTGGGGTTAATTAATTTGATGTCACCTATGTTGTACCTTCTCATCATAATGCTATAATTCCCTCTCCACGACAACCATATCAAAATTTTCAAGACATTATCAATTTAACTCATCAATCTCGAGTTACTCGGTTGACCGATAAGTAATCCTCCACCAACCATGGTGGACTTATATCAATCTCATCTTACTGTTGTCACTCGTTAAGTCATAAGAGAGGAGTTGCGATGTCTTGGATGCAAGGAATTTTCTTTGAGATAAATGAATTAACTCATCCCTCGCTATAGCTTCCAGGAATCCTCACCTCTAACAAATGCAATTTTTCAACATCATAATCTAATGTGATTTTAGCATACTGCAATTGATCCTTATGATGGGATCTTAGATTAATCCTGCAAGCATATTGACCACTAGAAGACAATCATACATATTTAACAAGCTTTGGATGCAATCATTTTCTGG